ACCCCCCCCCCCCCCTGCGTGTTTGAGGCCATCTCCACCCTGGGAGGATCCTAAGCCTAGACAGCAGAGCCCGGGCAGACTTGGGCGACCCGGCTCCTTTTTGGATTGGGCCCCTGTGAAGATTTAGGAAAGCGGACATTGGCCCCCAGCAAAGGGCCTGGCACACGGCAAGCGCTCAAAATGCTTCTAGTAGCTCTTCTAGTAGCTGCCGCCGTTTGGCCTCTGTGTGCAACGTGCGCTGCGATTTTCCATCTCCGAGTGCGGGCTGTGCGCCAGGCACTGTGTTTGGTACCGGAGGCAGAGCAATGACTGCAACCCACAGGGTCCTGCGCTGGTGAAGCTTAAGTGTCCCTGTGGGAAGACACAGTAAGGCAGAGGGAGCTCGGGTGTGGAGGTCAGAGGTCAGAGGCCCTGGAGAAGGTAAAGCAGGAAGAGGGGAGAGGGAGTTGGAGGCCTTGCTGAGAAGGTGGTGCTGGGAGTGACAGACTGGAAGCGGCCGGGAGCAGGCTGTGGGCGCCTGGGCGGCGTGGCCAGGGCTCGGGGACAGTGTGGGCGGCAGAGCTGGGGCACAGGTGGGGGCTGGGAGAGGAGGAGTATGAGCAGGTTTCTCTGGTTACTCTGGCTGCTGGAGTGGGGAGCCCTGGGAGGAGACTCTTGCAGTAAACGCACCAAGGGGGAGGGGAGTGCCTGAGAGCAGCAGCCAGAAGCCGACTCAGCAGGAGGAGCAAACCTCTGGATCTTCTGCTTTCAATTGGATTGGGGGGAGGGGTCAGCGGTCAGGAGGCGTCATCGGGCTGGACCAGGAGGTGCTGGACCAGGGGGCGCGGCAGTTGGATGTTTGAGTCAAATAGGAGTGGAGGACAGAGGCAGGGGCAGGTGAAGAGTTCCGTCCGGGGCTATTTAAATCCCAGGACCAGCGGCACCTGACTGGCTCGGTGGGTAAAAGCACATGACTCTTGATCCTGGAGGCTGTAAGTTCAAGCCCCACACTGGGTATAGAGATTGCTTAAAATATTTTAAAATCAATCAGTCGATCCCAAAGACCAGTAGTGGCAAGAGATGCGAGAGTGTCGTTGGTGAGCGGAAGCTTTCCCGGGCCCGAGTGGGGTTGTGCCATTCACGCGGCAGGCACGTGTACAGGTGTGTGGCTTGCGCTTCCTCTGGCACGTGGCGTCTTGAGGGAGGGTGCGGTGTGGTTTGGTGGCGGCCCTGACCTTTACAGGGTGAGAGGCGGTGGAGGACACGGGGAGGCTGGGACCTGCGGGCCGTGTGAAGTACGAAGGAGGGGGCGTGTAGGTGGTGTCGTGGGGTGGATGGTGTCCCCCGGTGGGTGACGACCACCCTCGTGAATGCTGCTGAGGGGCCAGTCTGGGGAGGAGTGGGCCTGGCCCTCGGACTCAGGAAAGGCATGTGCGACCTTGACTAAAGGCTGCTTGGGTAGAGTGAGTAGAAGAGAAATGGACACGGTGAGCACAGTTTCGCTCTAAAGGAGAGTGGAGGGGCTGGGTGGGAGCCGGGAAGGAATTCGTGTGAAGCAGAGGATTTTTTTCTTGAAGCAGGAACTAGCCTTGGGTTTGTGTGCTAGAGTCTAAACCAGTAGGGAGAGAGGCACCTGGGGGGGGAGGGGCAGGTGGTTAAGCGTCCGACTTCAGCTCAGGTCGTGATCTCGCAGTTTGTGGGTTCGAGCCCTGCATCGGGCCCTGCGCTGACAGCTCGGAGCCTGGAGCCTGCTTCAGATTCTGTATCTCCCCTTCGCTCTGCCCTTCCCCTGCTCCTGCTCTGTCTCTCAATAAATAAATGTTTAAAAAAAAAACAACACAGTAGGGAGAGAAAAACTGATGGATGCAGGAGGAGGGGGAGGCTTCCTTGTTGATGCTCACGGGCTCTGATGTGGCCCAGAGGGGCGGCCTAGTAGCAGCCCCAGACCCCGGGGAATTAGGAGAGAAGGCTGCGAGCGGGTGTGCTGGTTGGTGCTAAGGGGTTCTGGGTGGAAGTCCTCAGAAAGGAAGCAAGGTCATTGGGAAGGTGGGTAGGGGGTGAGGGGTGGAGGAGAACGGAGAAGGCATGAAGTAGCCCAGGGGAGGCCTGCTTGCTGGCGGTGCCGATGGCCCACTCGGTGTGGGGAGGTTCGGCAGACAGAAGAAAGCCCACCACGTTTGGGGAGGCAGCCGGAGATGGAGGAGGGCAGGTAGGGTTTAGAAGGAGACCAGGCCTTGGGGCAGGGCTCGGGGCTCAGTCGGTTAAGCGTCCGACTTTAGGTCGGCTCATGATCTCACAGTTTGTGAGTTCGAGCCCGCGTCTGGCTCTGTGCTGACAGCTCAGAGCCTGGAGCCTGCTTCGGATTCTGTGTCTCCCTCTCTCTGCCCCTCCCTGACTCGCACTGTGTCACTGTGTCTCTCTCAAAAATAAACATTGAAAAAAAGTTTAAAAAAAAGGAGACCAGGGCCACTGGTTCCTCAGTGGGGACACTTGATGTGGAGCCCAGCGCCACACCCACGTGCTAACTCGTTTGCCCTGGACTCGCGTGGTTTGAAAGACTCTTCTCCGGAAAAGCTGTGTTGGATGAGGACTGACCGATTTGCCTCTTTTTCTGCACAAACAGCCCTGCAGGCCCAGCAGCGTGGCCTGCCTAGTGGCCGGGGACGGCTTTGGTGGCCCACGGAGCCAGCGTGTCCCTAAAACACAGTTTCGCGGGGTTCGGGGGCTCCGGCCAGTGGATCTCTAGGTGCCTCGCGTCGCTGGTGTCAGCGGCCGAGGATGGCGGGTGGCCCCTGGGAGCTCAGTGGTCCCCTCTGTGGTGTGACCTGTGTGTGTGTGTGTGGGGGGGGGTTCTCTGGCCCTCCCTGGCTGTGGCCGGACGCTGACGGGCACGGGGGTGGCGGGTGGGGGCTGCCTCTTCGCAGGACCTCCACAAAAAGTACTCGTACATCCGCAAGACCAGGCCTGATGGAAACTGCTTCTATCGCGCTTTCGGATTCTCCCACTTGGAGGCACTGCTGGATGACAGCAAGGAATTGCAACGGTGAGGGTGGTGGCCGCGGGCGGCGGGCGGGGGTTCCGGGAAGGCCCCCTTCCGCTCTAGGCGACTCGGAGGTGCAGGGCCACCTGAGGCCAGACGGTGGCTGGGCGCTCGCCGTGGTTTTCTGCTCTGAGCTGGGAGTGGGGGCCCACCCCGTGTTGGCCGGTCCCCCACTTCTGCGCTGGCCTCTCTGCTGGCCGAGGAGCCCATGCTGGCCCCCCTTTCCCTCCCGCCCGCAGGTTTAAGGCTGTGTCTGCCAAGAGCAAAGAGGACCTGGTGTCCCAGGGCTTCACTGAGTTCACAATTGAGGACTTCCACAACACGGTGAGCCCTCTTGGCCAGGGGGGGCGGGCAGGGCGGGCAGGGGCGGGGCTGACCATCTCCTCCCTTGTGCCCTCTGTCCTCTGTGGGTGGCAGTTCATGGACCTGATCGAGCAGGTGGAAAAGCAGACCTCTGTAGCCGACCTGCTGGCCTCCTTCAACGACCAGAGCACCTCGGACTACCTGGTGGTGTACCTGCGGCTGCTCACCTCGGGCTACCTGCAGCGCGAGAGCAAGTTCTTCGAGCACTTCATCGAGGGGGGCCGGACCGTCAAGGAGTTCTGTCAACAGGTGCCGTCCCTCCCCTTTCTCCTCCCTAGGGGTCGGGGGGTGGGGTGGGACACGGGCCGGGGTGTGTGCAGAGTGGCGCCGGGACCGGGGCCCTGACTCCCCCCCCCCCCCACCCCGTGCCGCAGGAGGTGGAGCCCATGTGCAAGGAGAGTGACCACATCCACATCATCGCGCTGGCCCAGGCCCTCAGCGTCTCCATCCAGGTGGAGTACATGGACCGCGGCGAGGGCGGCACCACCAACCCGCACATCTTCCCCGAGGGCTCCGAGCCCAAGGTCTATCTTCTCTATCGGCCTGGACACTACGACATCCTCTACAAATAGGGCTGGCCCCGGCCTGCTGCTGCCCTGCCCGCCCTCCCCTCTGCCAGGCGCTAGACATGTACAGAGGTTTTTTGTGGTTGTAAATGGTCATATTTCACTCCCCTCCCCCCACCTCCCCGTCACACGACCTTCCACGTTTTATTAAAGGGGATGCTGGTGGTGAGCCGCGTGTGTGCGTGTCCCTGCTCTGCTGCTGCCTGCCTGGCTGCTGTGTCTGGCTGCCCCCCCCAACCCCCCCAGGTGGGTTCTTCTCGGCCTTCTACCTGTCCGTGTCCAAGCCTCCCCACCAGGAGCAGTTTTGAGGGGGGCTAGGCCTCTTGGGGACCCCTCCTGGTTACTGGGGTTCCGCTTCCTTCCTTTCTGGCAACCCCCCCTTCCCCTCCTTAGCTGGCCCAGGGGCTTCCAGGAGAATCTTGGAAGTTCCCTGGGGACTTGCCCAGGGACCGAGGCTCACCCAGGCTTCAAGCTGCTCCCTCCTAGGCCCTGACCTGGCTGCACCTCGCGCTGCCCGTCCGGGCCTCGGACCTGACCCCACCGGGGGTCTGCATGGTCCAGTCCTGGGTGGAGAGGCCTGACGCGATGGGGCCTGGCTCAGGGCAGGTGGAGGAGCCGGGGCACCCCGGTGTACCCCCAGGTGGTGCCAACCTGGTGGGGGAAGGGTAGCCTTCAAGCCTGCGCGTGGTCCGCGGTCCCGAGGTCTAGGCAGGGCTTGCCAGGCCGCCCTTCCTCCCCCGCCCCTCCCCCTGCCTGTGCCTGCTTTCCACCCCCTTTGCTTGGGCCACGGTGTCTGCATTGCCTTCCTTTTTGCCTTCACCTCTTTTCTTCCCTCACCCCGGCACACGTGGGGTCTTGGCCCCCAGGCTGTGAGCTCCTTGGGGGCAGGCCCTCAATAAATGGAACGTGCTGCTGCCCGCCTCTGCCGTCCGGCCCGTGCCTCCACCCGCCCGGCTCCCCGAGTGCGCTCGCCGGCCCCTTTGAGCCAGAAGCACTTGTCCACACCCCTCTGGGCTGTCTCCTTCCCCAGCCAGCACTCAGACAGCAGGAGCTGCGACACGGGGGTTCTTTTATTAGGCGGCTCCGGAGGCGCAGGGGGCTGAGGGGAAGAATGGGGGGCCCGGGCTGCAGGCTTCGGGGCCCCCTTAGAGCTGGGAGCGTGGTCCAGTAGGCCCAGGCGAGTCTGTGGGCAGAGCAGAGCAGTCAGAGGGAGTGGAGGCTGGGGGCCTTCCCTCTTGGCTTTCCTGCATGGGGGTGGGGGTGGGGGTGGGGGACGGGGGCGAGCCCCTGTGTTAGCGGCAGGTTAGTGCGCAGCCACATGGCAGGCCAGGCCCTGCTTACCAGTCCCGGGCAGGGTGGGCGGCCGGTGCCGTCAGGCTGGAAGGCAGAGGACAGTGAGAGCCTGCTCTTAGGGGGGGGGGGGGGGGGGGGGGG